ATTTCCTACTTTGTTCTTTTCACCTTATTAACCAGTAAAAGGTGAAATTTCCTTTCAAGTCACAGGAAAAAAAAAGTGCTTGGAACCTGATAAATACAGGTCCAGGGGCTTGTTTATGCAGACTTTTCCACACAGAAACATAATGCCTTGAATTAAGTGTCTGACTTTTGCAAACAAACCATTAAATACATGACTAATTTTTCATCAGAGTCATTAGCCAGAGTTAGCATCCCTATGAAGACAAGCCCTAAGTGCCTTAAGAACATTAAAAATACTATCCCATATTAACAGACTGATTAATATCTGGAAATAGAAATGCTTGTCTACTTACCATAGAAAGAAAAATTTGTCAGTTCAGTAGAGACAAGCTATCCTTAATAAGGCATCTAGTCAGTGAGAGGCAACACTTGCAACAGTTCTTAAACACTGCATTTTAGTTCTCAGTAACGTGAAATGCAGGAGATGAACAGAGCTTCTCAGTTCATGCATCTGGCAGATAGGTTATCAGGAGGCACTACGCAACTGAAACAGAGCTGCTCCAGCTGCACATTCAACCAGGCTGATATCTTCAAGATGCATCTGGGCAGACCATGGCCTTCATCTTTCACTGGTCCGCTCAGGCTTCTGAGCTTGTTCTGTCACCAGCCCTCTTAGCAAGTTTCCTGGACACAAGCCCACGTCTGTTAATTCTTCACAGAAATGGTACCAAATCATTCAGGGAAGAAATGGTACCATTCCTTCCCTGCCCTCCCACCCTGCACTACTCTTGCCCACTCTGCACAGAAGTCAGTTAAATAGTTAACCCGCTTGGAAATGAGGTAAGAGATCAGCAAGACAAACCTTGCTGACTATCAACCAGCTAGAGCAACACTACTGCATTACAGAAAGGTTTGGGTCAAGAGTGCGTGCTCAGTAGGTGGGCTTTACATTAACTGGATTAAGCCAAGCATGTATCAACTGCACTGTTAAAATATTCATGGATTTACACTTATGTTATATAAAAAGAATACAAGAACTGGTGTTGTATGCAGACTGCCTCCGTTCTCCTCCGATCTGTCATGCAGCAGATCATGTGAGTGATAACGCACTAAAAAAAAAAATCTTTGGTTCATATTCATTCCAGGCTGCCTGAACCAGCTGAGGTAGGAGTAAAGACTTTTGGAGACAGTATAAGGAAACATGGTTGAACTGGGTTCACAGGGCTTCATCCTTCTAATGTTCCAACAATGGATCCATCAGCATGGGAGCCATCCAGATTTAGCAACTGTCCACTGTCATTGAGGTGCAGATTATATAACAAGTTCAAGCAGCAAATGCCTGTCCCCATGTATCTTAACATAAAGGTTTCATACTCACAGAATAATTCAGGTTCAAAGGCACCCTCAGGAGGTCTACAGTCCAGCCTCCTGCTCAAAGCAGGGCCAGCTATGAGGTTGCTCAGGGCTTTATCCAGTCAGATCTTGAAAACCTCCAAGGATAAAGACATTGAGCTCTTCTTTAGGTCTCCATTCCAATGCTCAGCTGTCCCCATTGTGAAAAGCTTTCTCCTTATATCCCAGCAAAACCTCATTTCAGTTTATACCCATTCTCTCTTGTCCTCCCCTATGCACCCCTGTGGAAAGCCTGGCTCCTCTTCTTGATAACCTCCATGTAGGCATTCAGGGGCTGTTGTTAGCAACCCTCCCCCCTTCCCCCTCAAGCTACCTCTTCTCCAGGGTGAAGAGGCCCAGTGTCCTCAGCTTGCGCTCCAGCCCCTGACCATCTTGGTGGCCCTCCACTGAACTCACTCCAGTTAATGTCTTTGCTGGTATTGGGTGGGCCCAAAATTGGACACTGTATCTAGATGTGCTCTAATGAGTGCCGAGTAGAGCCACTGCTTCCCTCAAACTACTGGCTCCACTCCTGTTAATACAGCCTCGGATTCTCTTGACTTTCTTCACTACCAGGACCCACTGCTGGCTCAAATTCAGCTTGCTGCTCACCAGACCTCCAGGTGCTTTTCTGCAGAGCTGCTCCCAACCAGCCAGAGGCTCCTCCTTCCTACAGGCAGGACTTTGCATTTGTCTCTGTTGAACTTCATAAGGTCCCCATCAGCCCATTGCTCCAGCCTGGCTCCTCTGAATGGCAGCCTGGCCTTCAAGCATATCACCTGCTCCCCCCAAATTTCAGGCTGTCCACAACTTGATATGGGCACCTTCCACCTCACCTTCCAGGTCACGGATAAAGACATTAAACAGGACAGACCCTAGGAGGGACCCCTCAGCAACTTCACTTTCCTCCACGTTTCAGGAATAATATCAATTGGGGATTCAAAGACCAGACATAAATCTCAGAAAGGGTACTTTTTCCTGGGTGTTGCAGAGTTGGCTTCACAGCAGGTTGCCAGGCAGAACAGGCGGCTCAGGAAGGGCCACCCCACACTGAATGTTCGGGGTGGTTGCAGACTTTGCATCTCACCTGACCAAACCAACTGCACCAGGCACATCCAAGAAGGGTTGAAGGCTAGAAGTGAGAACAGACAAACTCTGTCTGGGTCAGGGAGCACTCTTTCAGGAAGCTACAAGAAACATCGCTGTTTCGTGGGAAGCTCTTTAGGAAAAGCAGATTAACATAGACATTTCCCAAGATATCTGAGACAAACACTGGGCCCTCCACCACAGCAAGCTGTGCAGATTTGTTCTTTCTAAAGCCTTGACTATTTTCTTCTCACTGTTTTTAAATGACAGCCTGGTCACTGCAACCTCTCAAACAAACCAGACTTGCTAG